CCCCGTTTCGTTGGATGGCAAACTTTATCTGGGCCTGAAATTTAAGCGTTCTGTATCAACCGATATTCTTCAAGCGTTGTCACTGTCATTCATTCTATTACTCAGGAATGTTCTCTCATGTTTTTGGTTTGCTGTTGTTTGTTATATAATATTTTTAAGGTTGTCTTATGCAGCCTACTAAGTAAAAGTAAAAATAAAGATAACTACTTTTGTTCGATAGGGCAGCTAAATATTCAACAAATTGAACTAATAACTCTCCTTCTGAGTCTAAAGAATAGTAGTAGGTAGTTATCAAATGTAGTAACTCAGGAGCTCAAAATGGTTACCGTACCATATTCTTGTGCGTCTACTGAGCTGTACAATGCGCCGAGGCAGCTGCAGAAGACGTTATTCTGATGTGGTGCTCCGGATGCTTTTTTTCTGCTTCACATGCGAACAATATAATACATACTACTAAACCGCAAGCCACAACCGTGCTGCCATGGAATGTCCCTTTAACATCATAAAAACAGCACTTTTACTACATCAGTTGCGCAGACTATTCTGACATCTGTGGATCCCTATCATGAGGTTCAGCAGAGGTGGAACCAGGGTCAACCCTACGTTGGTTAGCAAGTACAACGGAGGGTCGTACTTTGGTTTAGGTTGGGGAGGTCGTACTATGTTTCGATTGTAGAGTTGCATGGATTTTATGAGTGCTTTGGGAGTGGCGACGGCGTTTCCAGCGCGCGTATTGAATTCCAGCCGTTCAGAACTTGAAACTCTAGAATTCTGGTCTACTGCAGGCTGTTAAGAGATCTAAAGGGCATAGCCTTCTAGGGAAACGTGCTTAGGTAATACCAGGATAATTCACCATCGAACGAGCCATCGGCAGATGTCACATAATGTCGAGAGTTAATGTGCGAGCAGGAGAGCGCGACTGAACTTGACAAGTCGTCGACGAATCCTTGACCGATTTTCACCTGCCACATGAGCCAATTCCAACTCGTTCCAAGTTTTCACAACGCGGGTCCTAACGTTACTGTGCATGCCCGGAAGTAAACCCAAACGCTGATAATTTCTGCGTGGCGAAAACTCTTGAAGTTGAAGTTGAAGTGGGACGGCGACAGTATCACACATCCATTGTAACCCTCATATAGCTCGATGCTCGATAAGATAAGTATGAACAGCTGAACATATCAAAACCAGACTGAGCAAAGATGAAAACAACACCTCCGAACAATGGTTCAAATTGTAGGCGTGCGCTATCACTATAATTTTGGCACTGGTAAAAATATTAGTTTGGAAAGAAGTCCTGCAACACTTTTTCAAATTTTTGATTTTAATTTTATCTTTTTTGGTTACAACTCCTGACCGGTCTTATATCTACCATGAGTGTCCACCACTTGTCTTCAACGCTCAGAAAATTTCTTGATGCTCCTTTGCCAAAACCCAGCGGAGTGCGGGTCGAGAAAGGAGGCGACCTCACTTTCGAGTTGGAGTTGATCGTCTATTATTTCGTCATCAAGATGATGATTTAAGGTCTAGGATAGGTGGCAGTCATATTACAGCTCGACCAGGGGAATACGCCAAGAGGGGTAAGAATCTTGCCGCAGCTCCAGATTTTCTTACCGGGCTGATTTCGGATCATGGTGATTCGCAATGTCATGAAAGAAATAAATATTGTCGCGGTACGAGGGCTCCTGACGAGCTGCCTCGGCCAGCTTCTGGAGTTCCGCAGCCTAGACCTCTACCTACACATGGTGCCCATAACGAAGAATTTGTAGTGGAGCTTTCGTGAGAGCCCTATCTGTAATGGAGTGTGCGGGACGCTGCTGGCTCCTTATATAAAAATATCAAAAGATCGAAAGCGCTGGTAAAGGTGAAACACGCTGTAGCGGTGAACGGCATGCCTATAGAAGCTATTGCAGATAGTGTTGGTCGTTGACACGAATCCATAGTTATGGAGACATTTGTACTAGACAGTGACTCGGAGTATGGATTTGCTAGTGGTCGAGGTTTTTTTTGAATTTTCTTGGATAACTACTGACTGCAGCACTTATATCCACCTCGTGGATTGAAGCTCGACAAACCGTAATTACTGCCAATCAGGAGACGTTACGGTGTGTCTTATTTCTTACTGACTGGCGCTTTAGTGCAGAAGCGGATTCCCGCACGAACGGTGGAACCCTGGGTGAGTTCAAAATTAGTTTTGCTTATGTTTCTCGGTGGGACTCCCGGCGGAAAGTCGGAACCGCTAGAGGAGATCAGGCGCTTGGTCGATTAGATCGTGAATTTCAACCTTGAACCGCGTTTAGGCCTCAGAAGACGACGATTTTGTCGAAACGTTAGGCCGATTGAATAAATGTTCCACCTATCAACCTCGAACGGCAGAAGAAACAAACACAAATAAGAACAAAGAATGCCGAGGTTACAAGAAGAGAGAAGCTGGAGACTACATTCATCAGAATATGAATGAGTTCGCCATCGCACTCGCGCTAAAGAAAGCTTACGACGCTTGGTTTCATGTGACAGAACTTGCGTTGTCGTTCGTGCAAAGGGCTGTTATAGAATTTGGTGGGTACCCGGCAGGAGGCCCGTCGCGTGTAAACAGGCAGAGTCAGCGGACGAGTCGCAGCGGTACTGTAGTTGATTTTCGCCGGCTGCTGTGCGTCTTAAAGGAATCCTTCACGGAAAAATCATTCAATTTCAGCCATAATTCACTGGCTTGAGACTCATCATCCACGATAAGAATGAAAAGAACAGAAATATTGCTTTGTTTTGGTAAAAAAAAATTCGAAAAATCGAAAGGGCTGCTACGCGTTCAAAGTGCCCACGGACGTCTTTCACAAATGCTGGCGACGGGGATGCTTCCACTTGGTTCTTGGAGTGCCTTCACTAGAAACTCTTTCTGGCCTTCTGCTTTATTGCATTCACATCTCACACTTCTACTCCATCCTATATCGAACGATTTGTCTCTACTCTCCAAAATCCTACGCGTTAACCAATTCTTTCATTGCGTCGCCTGATACGTAGGCGCCCCAGTGCGGACTTATTCCATGCCCCGCCTTTGGCTCCGCCCGAATTACCTTCGATGTCCATAGAATGGATTTTCGTGAGTTTGTTTCTCTTCGGAAACCGAACCTTCATGCGTAAACTTTGTGTATTGCATCTAGTGATCACAACTGATACATTCATGTTGAGAAAGAATGCAAGAATTTTCCGCGAAGGATTCCTTTAAATAGAATGTACCATTGTAAACCGCAAGCATTGTAACACCAGAGCGACTGAAAAATCTAAGATCTACAGAACCGTCGTCCGACCAGTCGCCATTTACGGAGCAGAGTGCTGGCCGACTGACGAGTTTGAGACTCGTCTCAGTGTAATGGAGACAAAAATGCTGCGCTGGCCTGCCGGCCATCGCAGATTTACCCGTTTTAGACCACATTCGCAACGATACCATCAGAAAGCGGTTCGGTGTGGCTCCCATCGCTGATAAGATGCGCGAAGCTCGCCTGAGGTGGTACGGTCACGTCCTTCGCGCTAATGATGAGAGTGTCCGTAAGATCGGTCTAGACTTTAACGTGCCAGGAAAGCGGCCAAGAGGACGCCCGAAGCAACGATGGCTTGATACGTTGCATGAGGATTTGAAATTAGTTGGCCTTCACCCCGATCAGGCACATAATCGGGAAAAGTGGCGTCGTAATACCAGGAAAGCGGACCCCGCCACAGGGTGGGACAAACGCTAAAGAATAAGAAGAAGATTGTAAACCGCACAGCACGCGCTGTGACTCGTCCGCTGACTCTGCCTGTTGCCGCGCGACGGCCTCTTGTCGGGTACCGAATTTTGTGACTGCGTGCAGTGCATTGTTGATCTCGCGGATGGAAACTTTCAACAAAAATTTAGTAATCTGAATAGCCTAACCTAAATGTCGAGAAAAGTGACTCTTCTCTGGCTTTCTCGGATGTTCACAAAAATAAATTAAAATTTTTATTTTAACTCAGTATTATCGACAGTTTATTTTATTGTTGATATGATCCTTGTCCACCACCTTGCTCAGCACGAACAAGAGCATTTCATCTTCTGACCCGCGTTCTATGGATAAATATCTTAAACAGACACTAAATTATTGTATTTTTAAAAGATCAATACCAAATGCTTAGGGGAGGGGGTGTTAAGATTTTGTAATTCAGTGCGGAGATGGTTGTAAATCGGAGATAGTTCAATGAGCGAACACTACAAAACATCAATGGAATGACTATGTTACAGTAGAGAATAAAACGGAAATGATCAATCTCACGACAAAAAATCGACGCATGTCATACTGTAGACGCTGAAAACAAACGATTCTGCACAAGTAGGGCGTCTGTTAGCTGTTTCTCAGCAGATCTGATGAAATACATGATAAATGACTAGATATTATTAGACTCGTATCAGAAGATCACGTTGAACACCAATGATCACGTAAAAGCGCTTTGGCAGTTATCATCAGTACTGTCCAGATATACAGAGAAAGGTTATGAGAGACTTATGTTGCATTTTCCTTGTCCCTTATTGAGATCTCTTTAATTCCATTAGTGGTGGCGTCGACTTCCTTCTTAGAAGCCTCGTTTTCGTTGTGATCAGGGACCGATATCGTCAGGGCATCTTGTGCTTCTCCAACGGCTTCGCGGAAGTTCTCGCCGGAAGGATCAGGCGTGAAACTGTTCACGCTCACTCCCACAGCTGCCAGTACTTCGGAAAGTTTTCGCGAGTAGTCGAGATGGCCTTTCACCTGAAAACCATTCAATTCTAATTTTTTTCACCAAAGGTCAAAGGAAGCGAACACGCTGGCTTCGAGGTGGAACTGCTACCTACGCGTTATCAACCGATAAAGATCTGAGATAGAAATGATATTAATCACATGGAGGATACGATACCGCAAGCTAAGAAAATAAAGCTGATTGAATGAGGTGCACTCCAGAATGAAAATCGGACGACAACGATAACGGCATCATATCTAAAACGCTCCCTTGCAACCCCTTCTACGTTTGATAGTAGGTGTAGCTGCTAACTCGTAGTGAGTTTCGGCGTTTTATCACGCTGCTGATAAGGCACCACAGCCTCTGGAGCGCCATCTATCGTCTCTTTGGGTAGGACTCCTATCCAGTCCACTAAGTGACTTTACGTTATCGGAATTACCTCGTGGAGAAAGAGGCGGAATTTTTTTAGGTCACCCATGGAATGTTCCAACTCTTTCGCCATCAAAGACATGACCCCCTTCGATCTATTAGGTACCGGATATCTTAGTGTCGTTTTTTCACCGCGAGTTTCGGACCACCAATATTTTAATTCAGAATCCGGAGTGAAACAGCATATTCATCGAATGACTCATTAGCACTTTCCCATTTACCAGTATGAGTGGAAACCTCGTACGATTAAAGCTAGGAATTTTTTGAGTCGAAAAAGAGAGGTAGGTCGGTTTGACATCATCTGACAAATCATCCCTCTCACTTGCTAAAAGTTAGGCCTGGACAAAAGAAGTATACAGTTAGTTAGAGTAGGGTCTGCACTGTATGGTGGAAAAGTTATTAACTTACCAGCTCAACTGGACAATTTTTCCCGGAGTCTTTTTTGCCACATAGGGTCAAAAACGCACCCTTTTTGAGCACACGTGAGTAGCAGATGAGCACATTTATTAGAATTTCTTGTGCAATCAACTTCGTTAAGCGTTTGTGCATCATCGATCAGTCACTGCTAAGGTGTCCTACCATTTCAGCACAAGACTGGTGCAGCCCCGTCTCGACTGATTTAACTAGGGCCACCTTTTTGACGACGATTGCGGGCATCACTTCAAAGACTTTACTGTCTTTTGAGAAAACTGTGAAAAACCGATGAGCATTTTAAATGGTAGTATTCCCTCCAACAAATGCAATGTTGGTTTGGTGGGCGGAGGTTACAGCTCTCAGCAAGAATTTTGAAGCATTTGGTACACACATGCGAATTTGCACACTGGACCCAGGAATTTTCAGAAGAAAGTATAAAAATTGGGGGAAAGTTAAATTGTGAACCAACAATAGAAGACGGTAAGCAACATATTTCGCAATATTAATGAGCAAAAACTGCCTTCTGGGATATTGATTTTCCATAGTAATCGGCCCCAAAACTTCCTGAACTCAGAAAAGCGACACTAAGATATCCGGTACCTAATAGATTGCCTTCCTTCGCCCGCAAGAGGTGAACTTCAACGTGCTACGCCTCTCTCTCTCTCTCTCTCGCTGTCTGAGCGTTTAGCTGTTTAGCAGATAGTGTTAGTGTTGAAGAGGGTGGCACCGATGAGAGTCGCACTATAGCGAAATCAACGAGAGAGGTTCCATTTCTTGGGTTCTAGGCCGTTTTTTTGTTTTTTGCTTTTCGTGCATCACTGGCCATCTCTAGCATGAATACAATATAATGCAAGTATTGCAATAGTCTGCCTTTCCGTCGCAAACCCCGCCTTCAAGAACAAAGGCGCCGAGTTTCAAGGACGCACTTGGGATGCCAGCCATCACATGGGGTCCCTACCAGGGAAAAGTACGACTGCTAAGTTCAAGAGGGAATGGGATGCAAAAAAAAACTTTAGCTGGGACGTTTTACGCCAACATTTTTGTTCTTTTTTCACCACCGATGCTTCACTTTATAGCTAGTGTTACGAGGAGAGGTTAGATGGTCATGTCTGCTTTCGTTGTCTGCGGAACGACTTTCTGAAAGAAGTTCTGTACAGGGAACCGCAGCAGCACTGTCGAGTCAGGCTCAACGACTCACAGGCAAGAGGTCGTGGTATCAACCCCAGTGCGAGCCCGAACTTTTGCTTTTTTTATCAGAAGCAGAAGAGAGTTAGAAGGTTTCTAGGTATATTTCTCTGGAAAGCAAAAGTACAAACTCGCGTGAGAGTCGATCCCACGATCTCTTGCCGGTGAGTCAGGGTCACTAAAGCTGCGCTTTCCTGAATCATAACTTCCTTCAATAACCGTTTCACAGATAACTCAAAGCACTTCTATAGGTACAGACCTCATTTCAAATTGTCGAAGTGACCAATTGACACTCTTTGCTAGATTCTCGAGGCAATAGCCACCTTATCGCAACCAGCTATGGAACGAACCCTTTAATCAAAACTTACTATATGGCTGAGATTATAGTTGAAAATCTTCCTGTTTTTATTGGAAACGGGACCAGTTCCAGCGATTGTAAACTGGACGCTCATTGTACGGTAAAGAAATCTGAAAGATCAGAAGATACGTGCAGAAAAGAGGACGTGTTCCATCAAACCGGTCCTACCGTAAGAGCCAATCTGTTTCGCAGTAACCATTGATTACTCTCCCACCAACAACGGTGCATATCTGGTCCCATTGTTTTGGCGATGTGGAAACTGGAGCGCCAAGCAAAATCACATCTTCAATTATGCCTAAAACATGAAAAGAATAGGCGGTCCCTTTGGAAACGGTAACGCCGAAACAGGCCGACCTGCTGACTCCGATCGTTTACTCATTGCAAGCAGACAGTGGTAGATAACCCTGGCACCAAGTGAGAATCCAATCAGTGATATCGGTCGTTTGCCGTGTGATCGGCTAAGAAGCAACTCCGCCAGATGTTCCCCGACCTGAAATTCCCGGTTGAAAACACTGAAGGACTAATAGCAGCGGCTGAATATGGACCTCTGCTGCTCTCGCCACGCACACATTCCATGGATTGTCGAGGACTGAAGCAGCCGAAACAATCGCTACTGGCCATGCCACCGCAGCCACCAAGCCTGAAGGAAGCAAGCGAGCGTGGCCACAAAGGGAAGAACGCTAGATGGAGGGAAGCGGTGAATTACCTGCCAATACTGTCTCCATGAGAGTTTGCTGGATAGCGACAGAGACGGCAAAACCCATGATGTAGTCCATCGCCTTCCCCAATTCAATCAGATACTTGCTCTCATAGCGCAGTGTGTACTGCTCTCGCGCCAAGTTAAGGTGCCTCCATTGATGTATGAACGCCTCTTCACATGACTGGAAATACAACGTCTACGTATATTTCTTATTATTGACCTCTTTAAATCTACAAATGCTCGTTACCGTATCTTCTTCAATCCACCCGGAAACTACCAGAGCACAGTGAAGGCTCAGTCCATCCGAGAGAGTTTCAACTGAGAACTCTTCAATTGCTCCTACCCGCTTATTCATCTGAAACAGTCGAATTAGGAAGTGAAGTTGACTTTAAACGATCCTTAGCTACTCACCTTGTACCCAGCTAGTCCTGCTCCAGCGACTCCAAACGTGGTTCCTAACACTGCAGCACCTGCTGTAGGTGGCGAGACCAGCAGCACCCGAGCCGATTAGCACGCCAGCACCAGCGGCGACAAAAGGAGCTGCCAGACCTCCTGTGAGACCTGAAGTGCTAGTCAAAATACCGGTACTTGAGTCCTTCGTCAGAGGAAATTAGTTCACGAGCATTTCTTCAAGGCAAACAAACTTCTTATCCATTCAGGGAAAGATAGTAAGAAGTTCATCTGACAAGATAGGAAACCGAATCACAATTGAGTAGCTACATGAGTAATTGTATTGATCACATTTGCGTCGAAGCGTCAGTACAATTATGAAAAGAACACAAACGCGTGGCTCATCCCAGCAAAAGTTAACCAACAATGAGGCTTATTCCCTTACTTTTCGATTGTTTTCGCGTTTATTTATCATTAGAAATGGAGCTTGCACGAAATTTCTGCATGTCTGCTCCAAGGCAGGTGGTACGACAAACCAGCCGCTGTTGAAAATGAAAGGTTTAGGTGGTAGATGGTGCAGTGGTGAAAAGAAACCAGAAAAAAAAACCGCGACGTTTGACCCTTATTCTTTCCATTGCTTTACACTATGGACGAATCCGCAACCAAAAAACTTGCGGTGATGCGTAGGTGATGGTCCCGGTGGGCGACCCATGAGAAAAAAAATCATTTTTTGATAATGTGACCTTATGTAGAAGCTAAAATCAGAAAATAGATTTTATTAATCAAGGGAAATTGCTGCCTCGGAAATGGAAGCGAACGTTAGATGATGACAGTTGCCAGCATTAAGCACGATCTACATATTCTAATGTTATCTACTTATAAACACGGCTCAAGAATCTTTTGGTGTTGCTAATCGGGTTTATGGGGCAGCAGTCTGACGAGTATGTGTGTGTCTGTGTTCGTTGCACGTGCAAACAGTGAGAAGATTGCTACTTGTAGGTGTAAATATAGAAGAGCATAATTGCCACTGCGAGAAAAGGGGGGCGAACATTGCCCGCTGCCCTACCGCCCACAAAAGAAGGCTGGGTCTCGCAGTGAAACAAGGCGGTTAGATCGGGAATAGTTCGTGCGGGTACATTACAAGTAGGTGCGTCATAGTTTTCACGATCGAGAGAATTTGGTGGTAACAGATGTAATTAGTAAGGCGTTATTGCGATAAGGAGATTGCGTGTTGAAGGGGTGCTGTGCCCGCTATAATATTATTGGTTGCGCAACGGAGGATCGGGCCACGTTGGGAGTTGTAAAGCCAATTCGGGGGGGGTGTGAGCAAGCGTCGAAGGCGGGAAGCGGGGTGGGTACCCGGTGCATAAATGCCTGGCTAGCGAAAGATGACAACAAAGGAAGGTACCTAGTAACCGAAAACATAAGGAACAAGCCTGCACGGGATCAGGATGAGTGGGAAGGGGCCTGTTCAGGCACAATGAGTAGTCAAGGTCAGAAAGCACGGCGAAGCACAAAGAAAGGCACCAATGGTGTGTTGAAATCGCCGTAGGAGTGGATGTAGATGCGGATATTACATATAGATAAGTAGTAGAGAGGAAATTCAGGATAGCAGATGGCTTAGCGATGATGTATTGGCTGTCTCTCTTCCTCAGCAAATGTTAGGGGGCGGTAGGCGCATTTAGTGAGAAGGCCGATTGCTTTCAACCTTAGAAGCACTGGGCACCTCTCTGCCTGACAGCGATTAGGAATGACTAAGGGTGGAGTGTATTATCTGACGAGATCCTGCTTGAGATAGTGCCGTCGAGAGAGTCTAGTTAACTACTCTCACAGAGGCCGGCTTAGTCGCCTATTGTGAAGCTCACAGTAGTCACAATCTTATGTGAGCGAGTAGTTACCCACGAATCATGGGAGCTGGACATAGTTCAGTCTTCACTCTCATGTCTATATTCTGAGATGACGACCTGATAACTAATAGGCTGTTCCAGGATGCGGTCATCCGCAAAGGGACTGGAAGTCAGGGTTGTGGAGGACATATGAGCCACTTGGTCACCTATCAACGACCCATAATGATGTTTATAACAGGCCGCGATAGATAAGCATCTACATCGGGTCAGGTTTGATGGGATGGACTCCGTGTAGATTCGCGTGCCGGAATGGGCGAGATTTTCGGAATGTTCTGACAATGGCGCAATTCTCGGATTGTGATAGAGCTCCGCAACCGGCTACTCTAACAGCTACGTGTAAGCACGACCTACAGTCATTTTACTCTGCACTATATGAGAGTAGCTTGCGAGCTATAGTGGAAGAAAGGGTAGAGAGGTATAGCGGGAGCTGTATGCGGACCAGAAGGGAGGAGGCGGAAAACCACTAACCAACAGATCTAGGTGCGGTTAGGGTTAGACATGTCACTGTAATCCGTGAAGCGTACGCGGGGCAGAAAGCTCCCGGTGAGACAGGGACCGATCATTTATAGACTAGGAGCTGAAGGAAGATGTTCGGCTTCGCCGCTAAGGCCCACCGAGTTCTTTCAGAGTAGAGTCCAGCATCTGAAGTTGGCACGTCACAAGACGCGTTACGCACGTCTTGTGTGGTATCTATTATAAACGTGGAGATAGTGTTGGAGGGAGTGTCGATAAACGGTTGCCCCTCTCACGCATTGATTAAGGTCATCATGTCTCGAACGTGGGCGTTAATCGACCGAAAAAGGAAAGGGCATCCTACTCACATCGCGCAACTTGTAGCTTCCACATAAGGAATAGTAGCCAGGTAATCTGCGTGGTACAAAGTCGCTTCGATCCGGTCACCTAAACTTATGGGAAGTATTTGCAGTACTCGAAACGTTCTTACGCATGCTAATCGAGTATCGCTCACTGTATCGTGCTCCGTCTGTGCGGTCTCGTGCGTTCTCTTAGTGGGCGACTCAAAGTAGGGTCAGTTGAGTAACAAGGTGCGTGAGGGTGTTAGTGCAAAAAGCCGCTCTTTGACTAATTTACTTGTATCATTTTTGCATTCCTTGATTCATTTATTTAAGACGGCGACTCTGCTTCAAGTTATCTGGGGCGAACCAATTCGTGTGAATGTGTTGCCTGAAATAGAAGGGATGTGTGCAGTTTATGGGCTAGAACGAATTGAAGACTCAGGTCAGCCCGGTAGTGATATGAAGTTCGAACGGCTCTATGCCTCAGCTCTGTAATATAGCTGACGAGAGCCACGGATCACCTGAACACAACGAGACCACTCACTGCTCACCTTTCTCGCTAGTGTGTCGTGTGCACTGAATTTGCTTAGAACAGATTTCTTCTTAGTTCGGATATTCCATTTATATTTACGTATCGCGAATTACTCAATATGATTGTGAAGTAGGGCAGTAAATGCTCATCTGTGTTGTCTCTTAACGAAGAAACCTCTCGAGATTAGAGTGTAATTTGATCGGCGAAGGTGTTCGGGGATCCGCATTAACTTCTTGACACAGAGTAATTTGCAGTCTGATACCTTAGGAATACCATTCGCCAGAGAACTGTGTGCTCAAAGAAATAGCAGCAGCGAGCCTGCCTTATGTAGTGCAGGCGCTCTGGAAATGAAAGACTCTGTTGGAAGTCTTACCTTAATATTAGTCTCTCCAACGACAAACTTACACGCTCAGCACGTGTGTGGCTGAGAGGAAAGGGCCAAATGTATTGCCTTAATACACGACTCCCTGGGCTTCTGTGTCCTCCAGGCTAACCCGTATATTGGAACAAGCTTGAAACTGCGAAGTTCCCTTGACGGGACATATCTCTAAGGAACAAAAATAGTGAAAGCACTTGAGACAACTGAGTATGTACGAAATCCACAGTAATCCTCGAGAATATTTAATCGTTCCATTTTCGATGATTAGTGGGTCGGATTTGATGTGGTTTATCGGACGGCATGCCAGGGCAGTACGTGCCTAAAATGTCAAGTGACTTTCTGGCTCGCACGATACACCTAGGGTGCACTAATGAGGCGGTGGAGAATTTAACCATATAGTGTACGTATTAAAAATGATTCAATGAGTTCGATGCGAACTTCTAATCGAATACACGAGTAGAAAACAAAGAAGAAAACCAAAAAATGGCGTGCTGTTTAGCGCGCGCTCCTCAGAACGAAACCAATATAACTCGCCGAATATGTTAATTGCTGCGTTATGGTTGCATCCTCAGTTGGCACTGTTCGTAAGTGTGGGATGAGGTGTTCTTGCAGATATCGCGCAAAGGGGCTTCAAGTTATATTCGCCTTGAAGATCTAGCAAAGGAACTCATGCTGGTCTGGCTTTAAGCTTACCAGACTCTAAGTGTGTGAGTCTGTGAATCTCAAATTAGAAACTAGGTAAGGTTGATTAGAGCCGGCTGTATTGGCTCTTCACAAAAAGACGCTTCTCCTAGCAGCATTCACGCGTAGCCGCGTGCCGTGTTCGGCTGTGTCGCCGCGCAATTCATGTCTCCCGCCCGATGTCTGATCATTTAAGTTACCGCCGTGTGCTGGCTGCGACAGCCGCGCAACGTCATGATCTGTCTCTTCCATCTCTCCGGCGGATGTCGCTCCCTACTCGACCTGTTGATTATATCTGCTACTAGATTTTCTCTCTGAGCGGTGCAAAGAGATGTGAGTGAGAGGACATCATCTTCACTAATCGCGCCTCTAGCAACAACGGCCCTAGTCGAGTGTATAGGCCTACCATGGCGTCATTACGCAAGCGACTACGAATGTTACCCAAAATTTGAATGCTAATGTAAAATAAACCAGAGATTATATGTACAAATGCTGGACTCGGCCTAGTCACTGTCTATGTACAATGGAGTATGGCAGGAAGTGGCATGACACTAGCGAGGGATAGCAGAGAATTTAGAATATCAGACCAACTTTCCACGACGCCACAAGAATTAGACATACCCCCTTTCGCTCATTAATTCTGATAGCGAGTCGCAGACGCTCATAATTTCATTAAATGGTTTACTTAAGGCGGGAAAATCGTGCCAGAGTCTGTCGGAACACTGCTTAACTTTATCTCTCCATTATTTACATGTCGCCATTTTGATATAATACTGTTCCCATCACCGCTGCCATCATTACTCAAGAGCAGACAACACTATATGAGGTACGTGTTTGCGAACAATCTATAGCGTACCCTGGGTTACTTAGAGAACGCCGTTTGTATACAGTCTTAGCCTTGTCTGGCGGTGTGAAAAGTGGGCGCCAATGTTCTAGCCTAACAAAAATGGGCTATACTGCTAGAGTGAGTCAACGGACGAGTACCTTTGCCGTACAGATCCCGTGACACGAAATGTAGATCACATGGGGCGGTCTATTCGCGGAGTTTAAGTTTAATTTTCAAGCGTTAGCGTCTTCACAGAGCCGTACGACCATCGGATGCCTAAGACTGGGCGTATTAACTAGGGTGTGGGCTCACTCACAGGACTTCTACATCGGACAATATGAGTGTTAGCTACAGAGCCTATATTGTTAGACTCAGGCTTCAGGCTAGGCGTATAGACGTAAAGCAAACAATGTAGGGTGCCTAATTGCAGGGCGACCATGGGATTTAATTATCAGGAGAACTGGACACCACGACATCGTGACTATTAGAAATGCGCTCACGTCGTCGCGCCATTAG